CATGTGTACAGATCCTTCCCGTACAGAATGCAGCATTTTGCCATAGTTACAGTGAAAGTGTTGAGCTTTGTGTGATTCATCAGCATCTGCACAGTATCCAGCATCTCACACGACCGTGTTGGGATTAATGGTGCTCAGATAGTAATCTTCCTGCCACAGGACTTAGCTGTCACAGTACTATGTTAACAGGAAAATTTAAAATCTATAACAAAGGCCACTTGGCTGTCCTTTGCAGAATGTAAAATATTAATAAACTGTTCCAAGTAATGTAATAAGCAAAACATCATTGGAAAGATGATTAAAATTAATATTCTACACCTAGGGACTGTAACATGTAAATATTGCAGGTGTCAAATAAATTTATAATAATTAGTCACTTGGAAATTTTTTTTTTAATTTAACGTTGCTTAACCGCATTCCCGTGCGCACATTAAAATCGCTGTTTAATTTAGTTCTGGGCAAGTGGGGTAAATAACTGATATCAAAGATTCAATGAGCATTTACATTAGAGTGGAAAAGAGATTTTTTATTAAAACCTTGAAGGGTTTTGATAGAGGTAAATAAAAATATTTTTTCTCATGAAAAGTCAGCAACAACTGGTCAAAAATTTAAAACTTTAACGAGGAAATGGAGAGAAAGATCATGAGGTATTGGAGCAGAATTAGGCCATTTGGCCCATTGAGCCTGCTCCACCATTTGATCATTGCTGATATGTTTCTCAATCCCATTCTCCTGCCTTCTCCCCAAGACCTTGATCTTCATACTAATGAAGAACCTATCTATCTCTATCTTAATTACACACAATGAGTTACATAGGTTTACTACCCTCTGGCTGAAGGAATTCCTCCTCATCTCAGTTCTAAAGGGCCATCCCTTCACTCTAAGGCTCTGGGTCCTACTCTGTTCTATTGATGGAAATATCTTCTCCACATTTACTCTACCCACGCCATTCAATATTCTGTCAGTTTCAATGAAATCCCCCTCATCCTTCTAAACTCCATCAAGTACAGACCCAGAGTCCTCAAATGCTCCTCATAGGACAAGCCCTTTATCCCTGGCATCATTCTTGCAAACCTCCTCTGGATGGCCTCCAACACCAGCACACCCCTCCTTAGATATAAGACCCAAAACTGCTCTCAATATTCCAAATGCAGACTGACCAGACCCCTATACAGCCTCAGCAGTACAACCCTGCTCTTGTATTCTAGCCCTCTTGAAATGAGTGCTAAAATTGCATTTGACTTCTTAATTACCAACTGAACCTGCATGTTAATCTTAAGGGAATTCTGAATTAGGACTCTTAAGTCCCTTTGTGCTTCAGATTTCTGAAACCTTTTTCTACTTAGAAAATAGTCTATGCCTCTATTCTTCCTATCAAAGTGCTTGACCTCTCATTTTCCCACATTCTATTCCATCTGCAACTTCTTTGCCCACTTTCCTAACCCATCTAAGTCCTTCTGCAGCCTCCCTGCTTCCTCAACACTATATGTTCCCTCCACCTCTTTGTGTCATCTGCAAACTTAGCAACAATGCCTCAGTTCCTTTCTCCGGATCATTAAAGCAAATGTGAATAGTTGTGGTCCCAACACAGACCCCTCTGGAACTCCACTAGTTACTGGCTGCCATCCTGAAAAAGACACCTTTATGCCTACTCTCTGCCTTCTGCCAGTCCGCCAATTCTCTATCCAAAGTTTGGGTGAAATTTCTGTATTCGCTGCATTGTCAAATTAGCAAAATGTTATTGCAGGAAGTAGGTGAAGCAGAGGACAAGGTATCTTTTGAAGGGAAAATTAAATAAGTATTTGAGAAAGGGGAAAATATAGGGGTGTATGGAAAGAGCAGAGTTTCTTTTGGATTGGTTTAGCAAAAGGTCAGGTCAAGAACAGTGAGCAAGAAGACCTAAAGTTTAAGCATGTTAACTTAGATGTATTCAACTCCTAATATTGCCAATACAGCACTCCCATTAGCTTTAATCTGCACCAGTGCCAAAATGCACCCTCTCTAATTAACTAAAACCACTCTCCATCAATATGCAAATAAGCCCTGACTATTTCATTTGTTAGGTCTCAGGCTGATGCTATCTGATTGACTGAAAATGTCCATTATCCATCTCCTGCCCATTGCAATTGGTCATCTGCAAATCCAGTAGGGGAAGGCTGCCTGTTTTGCCTGTTTAATGTTCTTCAGTCCTTACAGGATAGAAGATACTTTTCAGAAGAACAGTACCAATTATTGAAGGAAGCTTGGCGTGAAGGCTTAATCACTCACAATGCCTCTTAGAAAAGCTTGAGTGATTTCACTGCTTTTAGAAATTTGTTTTATCTGCAAAACTTCTAATGAAATGAATTGAAGGATCAGCACAAGAGAAGAGCTGGCATTTCTTATAACATGGCTGCATATAAATTGGAAATGTCTTTAGATCTGTGTAAATCTTAGCTTTATTCCTAAACCTGTATGCCAAGAGCTTCCTACTATTTTAATTGTCAATGAAGATGGCATCCTGATCAAGATCAAATTAACAAAAGTACCTCCTATTTAAAGGATCACAGACTATAAATTTCAAATAATCACAAAAACATGAGATAACTTGAAAATGCCTGGACTGACAACACACTCCAATCCCTGTGGTGCCCACTGATCCCAGAATAGTGGGAGGTTGTGAGCAGTGGGAGGGATGACCTGTACCGAACAATACTTTGCTGCTGAAACACTTAGGCAGCTAAGAAGGTCCTCAAGACCTGCCTGGAGAACTGTATCCTGCCCCAGGGAGACCATCTATAAGCATACAAGTTTGTCCCCACTGCCTACAGAATCTCGAAGCCAACTAGAAAATCCCAGTCAGCCTCCTCTTTTTGTGGTCCTTCATGATCTGTAGTGAATATCATCCATGTGTAGGTAAGTAACATGGCAGCCTCCAAATCTCACCTCTGCAAAAATATCCCAGACACAGAATGAAACCAGCAAACAGCATACTTGCTATCGTTGGTGATTCATAGCTCCTGCTCACCTCTATTTCCAGCCCCACAAGGGAGTCAAAACCCTGCCCATTGAGTTTGCCACGTATACTTCCAGTGCCTAAAGCTAATGTCATACATGTCCATGGATTACTTAGCTCTAACTAGCACCAGTTCACTTTATTTTTGTGATCAAGTCCTGTCCCTTTGTAATTGCAACTCTGACCAAGTTTTCTTGCTTCCTGACTGACCTAAGTTTAGTATCATATTTTACAATTATTGATCACTTTTTCTATTTTTTATCTTCAATATGGGCTTTTAGACACACAAGTATTTTTATGTTAAAAACTCATTTTAATAATAAAATATCTCTAACAGTATATACAGATGAATCCATCTTGGCATCATGTATTGTTTATAAATTAAATTGTACAAATATTTATTTGGTAGCACAGAACATAAGTATTGATTTAGAAAGCACATTTGTCTTACAAAGCTTTGCATCTTGCACTCAGTGGAGCAATTTGTAAGAATACCAATATAAAGGGACACATTTTATATTGTATGAGAAGAGAGTGCTGATTGGTTGGCAAGAGGACGCTGATTGGTAGAGCGTCATCATAGAGCATGCACCAACTTGGTGATGACTGATAGTTACTACAAAGTTTTGTTTAAATTTAAATGAGGTTGTCCTGAGGAGAGAGCTAGAGAACAGCCGTCTCCTAGTTTGTTAAGTTGAAACAGGTGCAATGTGTGTGCTTGTTCTTTCTATCTGTAAGAAACAGACCCTGTGTATCAATATTGGTGGTTACCAGTATTCTTAAATATACCATACACCAAGCCTAACTAACAATTTTAAATTAATCATCAGCGTAATTCTTAGAGACACTGGATTATTTAAGATAAATGTTGCCTAATCACAGAATCACTTCTAATGCTGGACACTGTGTTTAGAGTTCTGTGAGCACAGACTGTTGGGTATGCTCAGTATCTTGAATGTATTGAACAGCCAAGGGTGCATGCTGTTTGATATGACCTGCTAGTCTCTGGGATGTACAGCCTACATTCTGATCATCACAGTGGCTCAGAAATTCATATTATATTACTCATTTGTGTGATTGGCTTTTCTCTTTAATGATGCTAGGTATGCGGCCCATATGAACCAAAGACTGGCTGATTGTGTTAGACAACTCACAGAAGTCAAGGCACTGACTTTATCCAACCAGGCCACGCTTCAAACTCAAAACAGAGATGTCCAACATCAGGCACGATTTCACAGTTGGACAAGATTTGTCAAATTATCACGAGTCTGCTAGGAATTACACCAACAACCAATTTAATATTGTTATGGTTCTCAATGTGGTGCACTTGTATGCGTTAGAATCGATATATATTAATGCACAGAGCCCAGTTCTTAAAAGACAGAAAGCTCATGTACACACGCTGCACCTTACTCAACTTCACACAACAGATCACAGCATTTTTCTGATTCATTCTTCAGGGCAATGCCTTAACCAATCAGATTGAAACTGGCTAATACAAATTTAAGGTCAGAAGTCACACGACACCAGTTTATAGCCCAACAGGTTTATTTGAAATCACAAGCTTTCACTTCTCCTGACGAAGGACCAGTGCTCCGAAAGCTTGTGATTTCAAATAAATCTGTTGGACTATAACCTGGTGTTGTGTGACTTCTCACCTTGTCCACCCCAGTCCAACACCGGCACCTCCACATTATAATATAAATTTAAATAAAGTTCAGGCAAATCACTGTCAGTCATCCTCTGAATGGTGTAGTCTCCACACAACACCTCTATCAGTCAGGGTCCATTTGCCAACCAGTCAGCATTCTCTTATACTATATAAGAGGTTGTTCTCCTTTATATTAGTATTCTTGTAAATATCCTGAAAAGTGCAAGACAGATAGCTTCAACAAAATCTGCCTTTTTCAGCAATACTTAAATCATAAAATTGAACAGCTGAGTGCCATTGAGATTTAACAGGATATGTCGATGTTTTGACTTAGTCTGTCATTTATTATGACTGTTAACTGTTCTGTTCTGTTATTTTCCCTAATGCAGTCTCCTCTATAGCTGATTCTTCTAATTCATCTTCCTCATTGAATTCTTCATCCTCGTCATCAGTATCAGATTCTACGTAGAAGCTGATTGTAGCTTGCACAGGGAATGCCGCCAAAAGCTTTTGTCCTTCGCTGTACAGGTAGTCAAAGCATTTGCTCCTGGGCCACATCAGTCTGTTGGAAAAATTAAGAAATTTCACATTTATCTCTGCTCCAGAACACAGTTTTCCATGGATTAAATGGTTAATAGCCTGTTGCTACCTTATAATCTAAGACTGCACCTCTTCTGTTTAAACTCACCAGTGGTCTGTCCTCTATCACTGACAACTAGCCAGGGCCTAGCCACAGTGCAGAGAAAGGAGGATTGGTGGCAGAAAACTACTAGAGTACCAAATGCTAGCAGCAGTAGCATTGGAAAATATGGCAGCTGCAGATAGATAAGAGGGGCTGAAAAGGGGTGAGAAGTCATAAAAAAAGGGAGATAACAGTCTTAAATGGTTTAACAAAGGAATGTTCACCCAACTGCGAAGCAGAACATTGAAGTAATTAATTCCTTGCAAAAATGTGGAGTCCCTAAATTAAAGCTACAGGACCTCAGGGGCTACGATAGAGGAGTATTGTAATGAAAGCTGTGCCAGTGACCAACCATTTGTAGATGGCCATAGCGGCATTGCCCACTCTGCACCAGATTTTCAAGCTACTCTTAATCTCGTCAATGCTGCAAAAAAATGAGACTCTGCCTGCCCTTGAACACTGTCAAAACAGTTTTAGAGTAATCTTTTGATGAAGAATCTTCCAAAACTAAATCTGCACAATAAATCTTGGAGGGAGTCACACAATCAATTAACGCAGAAGCCACATCCACATTTTACAGCAGTGGTTGGCATATTCCTTCAAGTGAAGAGTTTAAGTGGCCCACAATGTCTTTGAAGAGCCATGGAGAAAAGGTCATGTGTAAGGAATCAAGTGGGAAAGATAAGAGGAGAAGTGGATAAGATCAGTAACAGTTAGGTGGGTAGGTTAGGGAGGTGGTAGCTGATTTAGGTGGTAGGGTGGTGAGTGGGTAGAGTGGCAGGTGGATGGGCTGGTGAGGGTGTTGGGTGGCAGTTGATTAGGGTGGTAGGTTAGTGATGTGGGTTGGGTGGTGGGTTTGTGAAGTGGTTGCGGTGGGATCAGGCCAGGGAGGACTAGTCAGGTCAGCTTGAGGGGAAGTTGGGTCAGGTCAGGATTAAGTAGAATTACAGTGGGGAACCTGGTCATGGGGGCAAGTGGAAGAGTCAGGTCAGGGCAGGCTGGATCAAGGTTGAGAGGGAGTCAGGTCAGATCAGGTGCTGGCCGGGTCGGCTTGGGTGCTATCAAGGGATCAGGGTTAATCAGGACGTCGGGAGAGATAGTCAAAGAGGAAGTCAGTGATGTCAGTGTGAGCAATTGAGCGGGTCAGTTGTATATTTATGCTGGAGTTAGGGTAGGGTTTGTCCTGTTTAACATTTCCTAAGTAACTGTCCAGGCAAATAAATCAAATCTGTCCGAAGTCTCTGACTAACTCAGAGTGAAGACGTTTTTGGAGTGTTCCATTCAGCAGGAGGATTACCAATCATTAGTTCAAATTTCCCAGGCAATTCCCATCGAGTCATTCCATTGGGGCAGGTAAGGGGTCCCATAGTGCCAATCTCTGACCATCCAGAGCATAACAACAGCTTCCTTCAGCCATTTGTTACGTGGTGTCTGTGACATGAGATTTCACTGTTTAAAGATTGTGACTGTATTTCTAACCCTTTTTAAGGTTCACTGTTCTGTTGTGAACTGTTCTTCCCTAACCAATTGTTTCTTTGTTTCTCCATGACCCAGGATTGGGGATTTTTGACCATATGTTTGTTTTTCATCCTCATTATAAAATATTCTGATACATAATATACTTCTCAATATAAATCACAACTAGTAAAACTTAAAACCACAGAAAGATTGCCAGATTAACTTGCTTTTAAAGATTGTATTTAAAAAAAGCAAAATTTATTTTTAACATTTGTAAATTAAAGTCATCAAGCTAAAGGCGTTATCTATACACGTATTCCAGATGTGATAGTTTATGGAATTTAAAGCTGAGACCATAACATTTCATTGCCTTAGCCCAGATATATTAGCTATTTGGTCAAGATTTTCAGTATTTATCTTGAGAATAGAGGGAAATATTCCCTTACATTAAAACTGCAAATAGAGAGGTGATAGTTTTGTTGTCAACCTTACTGTATAGCTATCCTACACATTGGGTGGGAACACACAAGGACACATGGGTAGGCAGGTATTTAACAGGGGGCTGTGGAACAGAAATGGAAACTGAAAAGTTAGCCACTCATGTTTGGCAATTAGAAGTGTTCTGGAAGTAAAACAATAAGCTAGGGAAAATAGCATATGATTTATTATTTTTTCATGTACATTCAAGGCAGAATATTACAAGTGAGTTTGGCTGAAATAAACAAAATTTGCTTTCCCTGTTACATTCTATACACATTAGCCATTTGTGAAATAAAACAGCTTCATGATTTATGTATGGTCTTGTTGTCAGTCTGCTTTTTGAAATGGAGAGGTTCACATGAGACTACATTAAAAAAAAGACAGTCCGGATCACAAGATGTCACTATTCTTATGTTAATGCATAGTCACGTTTAGGGCGGTACAGATGCACCACTTAATGTAAAAGCTGGGTGCAGTTTGTTGATTGCTAACATTGCTGTATCCAAGAGACAATCTAAAATGAGTCCTAAACTTGCAACATTGAGTATGGTCATACCTGACTGGGTGAGTGAATAAAGACATGGCCTGACTTGTACTCTCATGATTGATTTGTCCCATGTGAGATGGCTGAAAATAGAAAATACAGGCAGTGTCAAAACTACAGAAAAAAACAAAATTCTACTTAACATTTTTTATCCTGTTTTTACTTCTGTTCTTAAAAAGTGTAAAAACTACCTATTTAATGATCCTATGAATGAGCCAGGTAAGTTTCTTGAATATACCTTTGGCTGGGCAGTTGGTTTGCAATGCAGAGTGTCACCAACAGTCTGGGTTCAATTCCTGCACCGGGTGAGGTTACCATGAAAGAGTCTCGTTTGCAATCTCTCCCCTCGCATGAGGCATGATGACACTCAGGTTAAACCACCACCAGTTGTCACTCTCTAAAAAGAGAGCAGCCTTATTGTCTGATAAGACTATACCGACTTTAATTTTACCAAGGCACATTGATGGTTTTGACCATTTGTTAATCCAACAAGGTCCAAGTTCCCTTAATTACTTTTGCATGCATTAGGACTTGATTTAATTTGTGGCTTCTTTAATATTTATCACATTGCTGTTCAGGAGTAGCAATTTAAACCGAACAATTTGTGCACAGGCTGATGGGGAGGTTTTGAATGTTGCACAATTATGTGACCGTGCAACTTTAGAGGAAACATTTGTGGAGTCATAAAAGGGCCTTCCTGGAGATTGTCAGCATCTCAAGCTATTTAAACAGTGATAAGCAGCTGTAAATGTCAGCAAGGAAGTGCAGATATGGGAAGGAGTTCAGTGCAGGAGTAATAAATAACTGGAAAAGTATATCTCACTGGATCATCATCCACATTCCAACCTGGCAACAATTAGTGCCCTGATCTTTGCTGTGTTCCTCCATTCTAAACCTCGCAGTCGTACAGCTGATCAATCCAGTCACCTAATGCTGATATCCTGATGAGAATCCAATTTAACAAACCTATGGAGCAGCTCATTATTTTTTACAAATAGTGGTGAAAAATTTAACCTCAGCCTGAAACTGACTTCTTCACTCATCACTTCTTACTGACTTAAAATCTGAACTTAACTTAAATGTTGCCATCAAATTGCAAGAGCCAAACAGATTGTGGAAGGGCAGAAAATCAGTTGGATCATATGATGAGTGGCCAGCACATCCAGATGACAAGGAGTGGTTGTGGGTGTGGGAACAGGAGGGATAGTGATTCCAAACAGGTTGGCAAAGAACCAGAGTACTTTTGGTAACTCTCAAGAGCCTTGTTTTCTCAAAAATATACTTTACTCATAAAATTTGTAAAAAAAATCCATTTCAAAATATTTCAGGTCGAATATTACAAAATTTACACCAAAATTTAACTGGTCCCCATTCAAGCTGTGCCATTCTTAGAGATCTCAACACAATTGTAATAATCTTAATATTTTCAATAAACACGCCATGTCAGGCATACAGCCTGCGGGCAAAACATTTCAAAGAGTTCTGCCCACATTGCTGCCAACACTCCCAGGATTTGGATTGTGCCGGACAACATGTCCCTGCGGAGACGTTTGTGCAGAAACATGTTTCAACTCAGGTCCATCAGGCAATGGTCAGCAAATAGCATCCTTGAGGCCATGTGAATAAAGGAGACAGGAGCTCCTTTTGCAAGTTTCCCCGATGGCAGAATTGAAATGTAGCTTGACAGGTGGTAAGAAAGACTTTTCCTTCAAGCTTGGAGTCTCATTCCCTCTGCACATTGTCCTTGAGGTGGCTGTGCTGCAAAAGAGACCATTGTCCATTTTTTTTGTGGAATGCACCTTTACAAAGAGGTTCTGCAGTTAGATGGAGTGGCTTTTGTCAAGGTTCATCCTAAACAGCTCCGAGATGCAGAGAGGAAGGTAAAAGAGGTGGAGGAGTTGCATTACTAATCGGGGAGAAAGTTACATCTACACTCAGAGATGACATACTGGAGACCTCAGCCACTGAGGCAATATAGGTACAGCTCAAAAGTAAGATGGGTGCAATCACTCGGTAGCATTATACTGCAGGGTGCCCCAACAGCCACCATGACATTGAGGAACAAATATGTAGGCAGATTACCGAAAGGTGCAGTAAAAACAGAGTTGTCATAGTGGGTGGCTTTAACTTCCCCAATATTGACTGGGACTCCCTTAGAGCAAGAGGCTTAGACAGGGCAGAATTTGTTAAGTGCATTCAGGAGGGTTTCTTGAAACAGTATGTGGATAGTCCAACTAGAGGAAGGGCCACACTGCACCTTATATTGGCAAATGACCCTGGCCAGGTGAGTGACCTTTCAGTGGGAGAGCATTTTGGAAACAGTGATCACAACTTCTTAAGTATTAAGATAGCTATGAATAAGGATGAGACAGGACATTGCCAGAAGGTACTGAACTGGGGGAGGGCAAATTATGTCAGTATTAGGCAGGAGCTAGGGAGTGTTAATTGGGAGGAGCTGTTATCAGGCAAGTCCACATTTGACATGTGGGAATTGTTTAAAGACCTGCTGATCAGAGTTCAGGACCAGCATGTTCCAGTAAGGAGGAAGGACAAAGATGGCAAGGTAAGGGACCCTTGGATAACTAGGAAGGTTATGAATTTAATCAAAAGGAAAAAAGAAGCACATGTAAGGTTTAGGAAGCTAAAATTGGAGAGGGGCCCATGAGTAATATCAAGAAAGCAGGAAAGAACTCAAACAGGAAATTAGGAGAGCAAGAAGGGACCACGATATGACCTTAGTAAATAGGGTTGAAGAGAATCCCAAGGCATTCTATACATATGTTAAAAACAAGAGGATAACTAGTAAAAGGCAGGGCCACTCAAGGATAAAGGAGGGAACTTGCAGTTGGAGGCAGAGGATGTGGGTGAGATCCTAAATGAGTACTTTGTTTCGCTATTCACTCAGGAGAAAGATACCGAGGATAGTGAAATTTGTGTGGGGCATGCTAATATGCCAGGGCACTTTGGGATCAAGAAAGAAGTGGTGTTGGGTCTCTTGAAGAACATTAGGGTAGATAAGTCCCCAGGGTCTGAGAATATCTATCCCAGGTTATTGAGAGAGGCAAGAGTGGAAATTGCAGGGGCCTTGACCAAGATCTTTGTATCCCAATTGGCCACTGGAGAAGTCCCAGAGGACTCGTGAGTAGCTAATGTTGTTCCTCTGTTCAAGAAAGGAAATTGGGGTAATCCAGGAAACTGTAGATCTCTGAGTCTCACATCTGTGGTTGGGAAGCCTTTGGAGAGAAGTCTTAAGGATAGAATTTATGCACATTTAGAAAAACGTGACCTAATTTGTGACAGTCAGCATGGCTTTGTGCAGGGCAGGTCAGGTCATGTCTTACTAACGTGATTGAATTTTTCAAGGAGGTGACAAAGGTAATCGATGAGGGTAGAACAGTGGATGTTGTCTAAATGGATTTTAGTAAGGCTTTTGACAAGGTCCCTCATGACAGGCTTATCCAGAAGAATAAGATGCATGGGATCCTCGGTGACTTGGCCACATGGATTCAGAATCGGCTTGCCCACAGAAGACAGAGGGTATTTGTGGAAGGGTGTTTTTCAGGCTGGAGGTCTGTGACTGGTCGTGTTCCGCAGGGATCCATATTGGGACCTCTGCTGTTTGTGATATCTATAAATTACTTGGATGAAAATGTAGATGGGTGGGTTAGTAACTTTGCAGACAAGGTCGGTGGAGTTGTGGATAGTGTCGTAGGTTGTCAAAGGATACAGCAGGATATAGATCAGTTGCAGATATGGGCAGAGAAATGGCGGGTGGAATTTAATCCTTGTAAGTGTCAGGTGCTGCAGTTTGGGAGATCAAATGTTAAGGAAATGTATACCTTTACAGCATTGATGTACAGAGGCTTCTTGGGGTTCAAGCCCACAGCTCCCTGAAAGTGACCACGCAAGTAGGTAGGGTGATAAAGAAGGTGTGTGGCATGCTTGCCTTTGTTGGTTGGGGAATTGAGTAAGAGTCAGGATGTCACGTTGCAACTTTATAATACTTGGATTAAGCCACACTTCGAGTACTGTGTTCGATTCTGGTTGCCACATTACAGGAAGTATGTGGAGGCTTTGGAGAGGGTGCAGAAGAGGTTTACCAGGATGCTGCCTGGATTGGAGGGTATGAGCTGTAAGGAGAGGTGGAGGCTGAGTGGAGACTTGATAGAAGTCTATGAGCTGCGTAGATCGGGTTGAAAGTCAAATCTTTTTCCCAGAGTTGAAATGTCTAAGGGGGCATACATTTAAGATGAGAGGGGCAATGTTCAAAGGAGATTTGAGGGGCATAACATAGGAAGTAATAGAAGTCTGAAATACGCTGCCAGCGGCAGTGGTGAGGCAAATACAATAGGAGCATTTAGATAAGCAGGTGAATATGCAAGGCATGGAAGGATATGGACCAAGTGCAGGCAGAAGGGATTAGTTTAATTTGGCACCATGTTCAGCACAACATCATGGACAAAACGGCCCATTCCTGTGCTGCACAGTTCTATGTTCTATCCCTCTGTGCTCCATGGGCTGTTTCCAGGGATCCACACCAAGACAAACATGAACTGAGTCTACAGGACCATCAATTCAGTGAAAGATGCTTATTGGTCTGCCTGAAACTTGCTGGTCATCCAATGTAAGATTTTTCCCTTGACTGACACGTTCCAAGCTCCAAGTACTATGTGTTGAAGGAAGCAGTAAAGCTTGGGACAGCAATCTCAGAGCAGCAATGGAGAAATATCCCTGTATAAAGCCTTGCAGCTCTAGTACGTCAAGGGGCTGGAAACTGTAGAACATTTCTGGCTTTGTGTCTTCCAAAGAATGTGTATTCTGACGATTAAAAGCATTGAAATTGTAATGAGGCACCTCAGAGTGAAACATGGTGGAAGGAGAGAAGTTTATTTCTATTCCACTGCCTGTTACTTTTATAAGCCACTCCTGCTCCTCCTAGACCTTCAAACAAGACATAAACTCGTTTCCTGGACTTTATTTAGGCCAACTTCTTGCAGATCCCTTTAAAGTATACTGTGAAAGCTCTGATATGAAAGTGCCTCCAACAGGATGTTTTTAACTGATAGGGCAATACTTACGTTAT